ACACTACCTTCATAAAGGACTCTGAGAAGTGACTGGATATAGTACATTTTATAAAATGCTTGGCAGGCAGCTTGCCATTTTCATCAGGGTGGGATCAGACCATAATAAAAGGGAAGAGGGGCCAAAACTGGGCCCAAGAAAAGAGAACATTGAAAGAGGAATGAGAAGGCCTCATCAGGGACCAGACTTCTGCATCTACAATCCAGGTGGCAGTTAGTGGTATTCAGGTGTTCCTGTACCAATGCCCAGAGTAGGGGAAGTAAACAACTAGAAATCCTACTTTGAGAAGACAAATACGAAGCCAGGTGTGATGGTATGCATGATTGGCACATAGCAACAGAAGGCCACAGGAACAAATCTAAAAGAAAAGGGAAGGGGGAGTTGCATTTATGCATGTAAAGAAAAAAACATATCCTTGTATAGAAATATGTGAATCAGAGCACGGTAAGTATTTAGGTTAGAATAAAAGAGGTGGGGGAGGAGGCAATCAGATTGTGAGAATTTATTATAGACCACCTGGGCAGGCAGAAGAACAGATGAGGTCTTTCTGCATCAGTTGGCCAATCTTTCAAAAAGGCATGCAGTAGTGCTAATGGGAGGTTCAGTTATCCTGACATCTGCTGAGGATTTGCCAACAAATTATTCTCTTTCCTGACAACAACTTCATTTGTCAGAAGGTGGAAGGAAGAACAAAGAGTTCTGCTGCCCTGGATCTAAATCTCACTAACAAGGGGGGGGGGGAATTGGGTGAAGAAGTGAATGTGACTGCCACCCTGTGGGAAAGTATTATCCTCAAAGTTGTGGCATCAGATTGGAAGAGGAAGTGAAGAGAGTCAGATCTGTATATTGAATATTAGAACAGCAAATTCTGAAAATTCAAAATTTCAAATCCAAATTCCGAAGGAGAAAAGTATCCAGGAAGAATAGGATGTTCTAAGAAATCAGATCCTGAAGATGCCATTGCAAACAATTCCTATATGAATAAAAAAAATGGGGAAAATATAATAAGGCCAATACATGCAAAACTCTAAAAACTTTGAAAAGGGGGGGGCATGCTTAGAAATGGGAGGGAAAGCATATCATACATAAAAATTATGAGGTAATCTCCAATGCCTGTAGAAACTTTGCGAAAAATGTTAAAGCTCAGAATGAGCTGAGATTTGCAAGAAATACCAAAGGTAGCAAAGAAAAAAAAGAAATAATTTGAGTTTGTTAGAAATAATAAATCAAAGTGGAGAAGGTACATTGGAGATGGTGAAAAGCAAGATCTTCTTAACTACTATTTTGTGTCTGTCATCCCTCAGAAGGGAGCCCTTGTAGCAGATATTTTGATCTATTGCTCTGACCACTTTTGTACTCAAATTTCAGTTTCCCTATTGTACAATCTGTTTGTTAAGACACTGAAGTGGGCCTCAATTTTTGTAACTCAGTCCTACATTTATGCTTAATGACAATCCTTTTGGTGGTCAGAAAATGCCTTGATGCCTTGGCATGGCATGGCATGGCATGGCTTGGCATGGCTTAGCTGGGCATGGCTTGGCATGGCATGGCCTGGTTTGTGAGTTCCTGCTTAGTAGATCCCTTTCTGTAATCCAGGGCTGGCCAAGTTTCTTGACATTTCAATTAAATGTGCTAGTGAGGATTTATCTCCCCCAATATCATTCAGTTATGAATAAATAAACATGAGGCTGAAAATTATGGAGTTGTGATCCCCATATCTAAAAGGCATCTGCCTGGGTAGAAGCAACAGTATTCCAGTCCTAGGATGTCTAGCAGGTATTGTCTTCCTGACTTTATTTGAACTTCTAATAGCATCATCCAGATGTCCATTGTGGACCTAAAAGGAACTTAGGCTGAAATCAGCCAATAACTATAATAATCCAAACATGTTTTTATTTTGGCATTAATTTTTTAGCCAAGAAAGTATCTGCAGCAGGGTACAGATTCCCATAAAGCAGCAGGGTACCAAAGCCAGGTGAGAATATGAGGTGGGCGATCTTTTTAACAAACTGTTTTACAAAGCATCAGAGCATTAACAAGAAACTATTCCACACAGGTAGCAGTTGATTCCATTAGTTATGATTAAATTTATTAGATAGCAGTACAACTGCATGCTAAGCAATTGAAAGCTAAGTCCAAGCAATCTATTTCATTACCTCCTCCCCCTTCTCCTTTCCTGACAACCTGCATTTTTCATTACTTTTAGTTAAAAAGCAATGCTGATACTTTCCCCTGGTCCCCTGCTTCATTAAAAAGCACAGGAATACTAGATCTGGATTACTGGTTGAAACTTATGAATAAACACACATCCACAGCCAATCATTCATGTCAATTGATGGGCTAAACTCTCGGATGCAGGTGAGAAGGAGCATGTGGCGTTTAGTGTCTGCAAATGCTGCCACCTTCGTCTCCAGGGAAGCTTCAGGCTTCCCATTAATCTTGCCTTAATGAGATGTTGTACAGAAGCAAATGGAAAATTGCCACTGTTTCGTACTTTGCTTAGTTGCCACCTCTTTTTGTTTGTGTATTTGTTTCTCAGCTGCCTGGGTTTTCAGGGAGGGGTAGTTTAGCTGACTCATAACACAATCAAGGAACAATTCAGCTGATGAACAGTTAATGGAATATCAACATTGACTTAAGGAACTTCCCCACACCAGCCCTATTAAGCCCACTATAAAGTAGCAACTTTCAAATCACCTCCTCTTCCTATTATTGGCTGAAGTAGTTCACTGATGTAAAATGATCCCCAAATCACCTGCTCAAGTAATATTTGCAATGTTTTTTCCAAACTGACTCCCTGAATAGAAGCCTAATTTTAAAGCAAGATCTATTTGATAGTTTAGCTTGGGGAAGAGTTATCTATCAGGGGTCCCCAAAACTGGACCGGGGAAGTGGCAGCCGAGTGTACATATGCAGCTCCACTTATATGTGCACTGCACAGGTCCATTTATGCAAGCAGTGTGCATACGTGCTCACCACTTGTGTAAATGGAGCTGCACACACCACTCGTGCAGAACTATCCTCCCTCCCCTCTGGCCGCAAAGCTGAAAAGATGGAGACTGTGCTGATCTAGATCATGCCAATTTCTGAAATGAGGTGTCTGTGTCTATGCCCACTAGATTATCTCAAACCAGTGAATTTTTCAGCTGTGGCCCACATAAATCATCCAAGTGGCCCAGAGCCTTCCCACCAGTTAGCTTTCTAAAACCCTGCTCAGTCACTCAGCGTCCAGTACTTGAGGGGTTGCAACAAAGAAGAAGGGGTCAATTTTTTTTACAAAACACCAGAGGGCAGGACAAGAAACAATGGTTGGAAACTAATCAAAGAGAGAAGCAACCTGGAATTAAGGAAAAACTTCCTAACAATGAGGACAATTAACCAGTGAAACACATTGCCTTCAGAAATTGTGGGCACTCCATCACTTGAGGTTTTTAAGAAGAGTCTAGACAGTCACTTATCTAAAATGATATAGGTTCTCCTGCTTGAGCAGGGGGCTGGACTAGAAGACCTCCAAGATCCCTTCCAACTCATTCTATTCTATTCCATTCCATTCCTGTCTCTGCTCACCCTCCCCATTCATCCCTTTGCCATTCAATTCCTTTGACATCTTACAGCTTCTCCAGCATGATGTCGCACAACTTCCATTTCTAACCAGAGTTCACTCTCAGTGGAGTTTGCAGACTGCAGCCCTCAATCATGTATCATGCCTCTCAGTGCCTGGAGCTCATGAGTCAGTCGTGCTAACAGGAAGGCGATGTAGGAGGCTGCCACTCTGCCCCCACTGCTTGCTTTCCGCAAAGGTCACAGAAGCAGTTTGTGCTTTACAGAATTATTTCTTTATGTTCACTGAGTTTGCTTTTGAGTTGCTTATCATGCTACGTTGTCTTTACTGATTCACGAAAAATGAATCAGTGGTTAAAAACAGGCTCGCTTAAGTGTACCTTGTCAAGTTGAGTCGTAAGACTCATCCTGGTGAATGGGTCTTGAGTTCAAGACTATGAATCCGTGTATAGCTATGTGATGTGGAAATAAGGTCTTTAATTGACAACCCACAAAGAAAGGTGTGAATGGGAAACATCATCAACATCTAAAAAATTCATTGGGATGGAGAAACATTCAACTCCAGTTCTGTGCATTTTATGTTATGAAAGTGTGCAAATGATGATGCTGTTGCTACTGAATGTCACAAAGTACATAAAACAATTAAAATGCACATCGAGAAGTCCAGCTTTAAATGTTAAGTCCATGAGCATAAAGAATTATGATTCTGGATAGCAATAGCACTTCACAGTGCTTTACAGCCCCCTCTAAGTGGTTTACAGAGTCAGCCCATTGCCCCCAACAATCTGGGTCCTCATTTTACCAACCTTGGAAGGATGGAAGGCTGAGTCAACCTTCAACTTGGTGAGATTTGATCTGCCAAACTGCTGGCAGCTGGCAAGCGGTAGAAGTAGTATGCATTACCACACTCTAACCACTGCACTACCGCAACTCTTAGTCCTCGACTTCATTTAGCAACCTTTTGAAATTACTTCAGCACTGGAAAAAAGTGACTTACAGCTGATCCTGATATACTTAAGACCATCATAGCATCCCTATTGTCACATCATCAAAATCCGAGGACTTGGCAACCATCGTGTATTTCTGCCAGTTGCAACATCCTGGGGTTCCTGTGATCGCCATTTGCAACCTTGCCAGTTGGTTTCCAATGAGCAAAACCAATGGGGAAAGTTAGATTCGCTTCATGACTGTGTGTCTCAGTAAACTCAGTCAGTTTTGCCGTGGTTGTTTAACAACTACAGCAAAAAAAGGTTCTAAACTCAGGCACGAATCACTTATCAAGCACATTGCTTAGTGACAGAAACTGTGATTGTTAGTTGAGGACTACCTATATATGAAACCCAAGCAGTTTTTTTTTTCCTGAACTAAGGATGAGTTCATAATTAAATAATAAAGAGAAGCAGGATATTAGGGAACATTACTCCACCCTCCTTATGTACCCTATTCAACGTGTTCAGAGCTTGCTGGGCAGCAGCAAGGGCTGGTTCAGCTTGTGCCAAATCTTTCTCACAGTCCTTCTGTTTCTGCTGGACCTCCTCGGTAATCAAGGCCACCTTCTGCTCCTCCTCATCAGCAATGGCCTTCTCCTTACTGACTTTCTCTGTCTCTGTGCCCACCACCTGGATGAGCTGGTCGGCATCTTCGTTCTTTTGCTTCAGGTCCACCTCCTGAGCTGCCAGTTTGGCCTTCAAATCATCTACCTGGAGCAAAGACGAAGGAAAGCCAGTCAGGAATCATTACACACCAAACACACACACACACACACACACACACACACACAAGGATGCAAGGTTCAAATGAAAAAAAAGATTTTTTTCTCTACAACCAACAGAAGTGAATAAAATCATGCATTATAACACCAAGGTAACTTATAAAATACTAAGATCTTAGCATTTTAACAAATAAACAGGGTTAGAAGAATATTTTGTGATTTCTAAAAAATGATAATGCTTTTAAATTCGAAATTGTCGTGTGTGTGTGTGCACGTGCGTACATATCAATCTTGTTAAAGTCAGTGACTGGTAAAATATACCAGTATGCTAAAACCATAAACAACCTTTAAAAAAAAAATGAAAGGTCTATTATTGAGGTCCTAACACTTAAAGGGATAGTTTCATAACATAATGGAGGTCAAAAATAATTTGCAACTCCCCTAGAGATGGTATGGTTCCTGCCCAACAGTAAGAAGCAAATGAAGTCATCTTCCCAACTAGTGAGAATACTAGTAGAAAGTACAGTTATAAGGACAGGATGCAAGTTGCTATAGAAATGCATAAGCTCAAAAGTTTCGTGTTCCTCCAGGATGGCTTCGCTCTGCAAAAGGGTCATTAATAACACTTTCCCTCCAAGATTACAAAGGGCAAGGCATTAAAATGAGCTAAGAAAAAAAGCTTGTCAACCTCCTGGACAGGTAATATTGCATAGATAATTTGTGGTGTGAATGGTTTCCTATTTATACGTTGCCAGAATCAGTGACCCAATTCGCCCTGCTCTACTTGGAAGGCTACATCAAATGCCTGTTGCCGAGTTGCATCTCTAGCTCTTGGAAACCTCTCAGCCAAGAGAGCTGCACTTGAGAAGCCTCACTGGCATAAATTTTCCAAGAAGAGGAAAATTTATCAAGTAGGCTCGTAGCAGTCAGAGAGTCACTAGAAAAGTGAAAACTAAGCCAAAAATAAATCAGTGTATGCCAGCCTTGGATTCCAGGGAGATCATTCTGGTTTTTAAACTTGAGTGCTACTGTTGGAGACAGCAAAGTACTTGGAATAATGTTCTTAGGAATCTGGACTAGGTAATGTCTAAGGGCTTTAAGTTATTCTAATAGGATTTATTTATTTTTTACTTCTGATTTACTTATTTTACTTATTTCTCAAATTTATACGGCCACCCATTTTGTTCTGAGCAGCTTACAACAAAGCCTACTACTAAAACCTACTACAAATCAATTTAAAACATGAGGGGTTATTGGTGCTCTCTGAGCTTTTGCTGTTGTCTTGCAGACCTTCCATTGCCCAAACTAGATAACGTCATCAGCACCAATGGAGAAAGGAAGAGAACCACCAAAACAATGCCTCCCACTCCCAATCTCTGAAGTTGATCCAGAAGAATGCCATGTTCAAGAGCATCATGACTGAGGGATCCAGAAGGATCAGGACAGTGTGACACCCCCTGCATCCTGAGCCACACAAATGTGTCTAATGCTATCTCTGTTCTGTAACCCACAGAAAAATGTAAAAAGGATGGACTGGATGGAGAGAGGGAAGATATATTACCAAGGCAACAAACAGATAAATGTGGCTTAAGCCCATATGAAGTTAAAGATTTATGATAATGTCTAAGATATACATCCCCCCCCCCACATACACACAAAATTCACAGGAAGATAAAAGGGGGAGGAGGGAAGGAACATTCAGACTTGTAAGATTCTCTTACTACATGGCGCCATGCCCATGATATACAGCTTTGCTGAACAGTTAATCTGTTCTCCAGTCCCGTTCTTCTGATACAAGGCATATTTACTCTTTGTTTGGAGGAATGGGATAAGCACTTCAATCAGCAAAACTCTGTGGCAGCATTTCGTGTATTTATAGATCTTTGGACAATGGAGCAGGGGGGGGATGAAGGAACACTTTTTCTTCCCATATTTCAGATACAGCTCATAACTTTCAGACTGAGTAAAATAACATTGTGATGGTGAATGTGTATATGAATAGAGCGTTTATCAGGTTTTAAATATTCTGATGAGGCATTGAGTTTTTGATTTGTAAGGCTCTACCAAATCCATAGATCAGGTACACGAAAAGAGAATCTAAAGTTGCCATCACCTCTTTCTCTCCTTATAAGAAGAGACACAATATAGAAAGAATATAGAAAGAAAATCATATTTTTAAAATTTCCACAAAGCTGCAGAGCATACAGTAGGTTTAACAACAAAAGGAGGAAGGCCAGCCATTTAAAAATGCACGATTTTTCTATTCTGTTAAGAATGGATGTAAAAAAAGGCAACAGAGTAAAAGTATTGGTCTTATGGACAGAAATTCTAGGGAAAACTTTTCCAGAACAAAGCAAACTCTGACAATATTTATGCTCAAATAACATAGTACATGTCACTGTGTGTGAAAATACTTGTCCAATATTTTTTTTGTTTTTGTTTTAAAGAGATTATCCCAGTGGGGAGCAATTTGTGAGCATAGAAGCAGCAGGAACAGTGACACTTCTGCTACCTGGCTTAATGTTTTCAATTCACTGAATAAGGCTGGGTTTTTTTTTACCCCCTGAGTAAGTTTCAAATGTATATTTGTGTCTGCAAGTGTGCACTAAAGGCAGACAAAGACATTCAAGACTCCAGGATTGAGAAATGATGGGAGTGAACATGGAATTGCCCTTCCTCTATATCACCCCTCTGCTCCCAAGTATTACCCTCAAAATAGCATCTCTCATTTGGAAACAAATATTATCAAAAGAAACGTATATCCATCGGCTTATTTAACACACTTTACTAAACCATAATGTACCTTGGTTGGGACTTAATTAAGGCAAAAGCTGTCACTGTGATGTATAAACCAAGGTTTATGGGGAGTGAATTATGACTCCAACTAACAAACCTAAGAGTTTGGAATAAATTCTCCTATCAACTATATAAAAAGTCTTCAAATTGGAGCTCTAACTTACAAAAAAAGGACTATTGAGAATCATTCCTAGGGCCGATTCTGCTTTGAGGAAGATTTGGGCAAGTGTTCCTTTGGAGCAGTTTCTACACATGCCAGAAGAAGCTTCAGTTGAAGCAAAGCAGCTTACTCCGTCTGATCAGCCCAATGGTTCTCCGACACAGAGCAATTCACTGCACTGAAATAGCAACACACACGGTGAAGCATGCCATCAAGGGAGACTGACTATTAGCTGCTCAGGTTTAAGAAAAGTTAAGGAAAGTAGTCAGTAAGTAAAAGGCAGAGACTAGGCTTCGCTCATGTTATGGTTTTGTGTTAATCTGGTTAACAGCTCAACTTTGTCATCGCTGTTCACAAGTTGGTTTTTTTCCTGGGTTTAACAACATCTGCACACACAAAGAGGCTAACTAGTAACCAAGGCAACGCAAGCCTTTTTTTTTTTAAGGATAGAAATAACATACAAATCCAAAGATATTCCTCCTGGAAGCTCCCTCTCTTTAGGCAGAGCTGGGAGAACTGAAGCAAATCATCTCACTTGACTCAGTAGAGATGATCCGTAATAATCACCAAATTGTAACTAATTAATGTGTACAGTTTGCTTTGTTAGAGAAAGGGGGATATCTGCTTGCTTTAAGAAACCTTAGATGGAAAGGCGAAGGAAAAGCATGAAGCGTTTAAGCAAGCCTTGTGATTCGGTGTGTATAGAAAGAAAACCCATACTCTAAATTAAGAGCTTGAAGGAGAATGCCAGCATGCCTTTTAAATTCCAATTGTCTGTGCCAAACGCCAGGACATAATATACTACATCAGAAAGTTTGACAGTTAATTGGTAAAGCAGGAGAGTGTAGAGCCTACAGTGCAATTATTTTTTTTTTAAAAAAAGAAAAGCAGCACCAACAAGTTGCCACACATACAGAAAGACTAGTACAAGGCAACCTCTCTTTCACAGCAGGAAGCATGCTTAAAAATAAAGTGATTGCCCAAAGAGTTATCTTGCCCAGCATGTCTCATGTTCACAGGAGGAATGAAACCTCAAACATTTCTGGAAATAAGGAAATAGTTGCAATAGGGGAGAAGGAAAAGAAGCAAAGGTTAAAAAAAGAACCTCAAAAACCTAGGATTATTCTGATTGGCCAAAAGTTTTTCAAAGTTTTATATATATAAAAGCTAGAACAGTTAAGCAGCAAATTGAATAGTGATTTAAAGTTGTGAATCAGAAGCTGGCTGCTTCCAAAGTAAAGCAGCATCTCATTCAAAGGAGATCGTTCTCCACAATGTTCAGCAAGAAAGCAGAAAAGAAACAGACCAGGGAAGCTTAGTGGTGCTTTCAGTCAAACTACAACTTATGAACTGCTCTGAAAGTGCTTTAAAATATGCCCTATTGGGGGTGGGGGGTGATCTTCATTTCTTCCTTCGTAATACAGTGCCAGCATTCGTCTTCAAATTTAAACTAGGTTAATTCTTATTAGAGGGATGCGGTTGCTCAGTGGCTAAGACGATGAGCTTGTCAATCAGAAAGGTCAGCAGTTCAGTGGTTTGAATCCCTTGCACCATGTAACAGAGTGAGCTCCCGTTACTTGCCCCAGCTTCTGCCAACCTAGCAGTTCAAAAACATGTAAAATGCAAGAAGAAAAACAGAGACCACCTTTGGTGGGAAGATAACAGCGTTCCATGTGCCCTAGGTGTTTAGTCATGCCAGCCCTATGACCATGGAGACATCTTCAGACACTGCTGGCTCTTCAGCTTTTAAACAGAGAGGAGCACTGCCCCCTAGAGTTGGGAATGACACATATGTGTAAGGGAAACCTTTACCTTTTAAAGATCATATGGGTTTTAGTTTGAAAATTATTATTCTGAAGATCCACTTTGAAAAAAGAGTGAAAGGTGTTAGAGTTGGCAGCTCAATTCACAGTTCTTATGGATTTTTCTTGGTCTTGTGTCTTTACAACAGGCCCTTGATCAGATATTTCCATATACCAGATCAAGAAGCAACTACCCATAACATAAAATTGACCTGGGGGGGGAGTTTCTGGCTGTTCATGTTGGGAGGCCTAAATCAAATGGAACTGACTTAAAATCTCATGACCTACTGAACATAGGGAGAAGTAACCTTTAGATAGAAACTGAAGGACTTACTCTGGGAAGATACACACTTTCTGCTTGGCCTTTTTCCAATTTAAGTGACTCACTGCTTCCTGAATGCAGGAGCGGACAATCTTCCCACTCTCAGCCTACTGAATTGCATCCAGAGCATATGATGTCCAGCTTTGAATCAGAACTATATTTTCTGACCTGAGCAGGCTTGAGACTTTCAGAGTGGATGGCCTCTGCTGATTAGTTCTATTCTGGTGGCAGCCCCAGGTCCAACTGGTGCCCTGCCAAATGTTTGTTTGTTTTCAATCTTGCAATTGAGGCAATGGTGGCCTTTTAGGTCCCTTTTTGACCCTAGAAACTCATGATCCATTCCACCCTTCCAACTCCCAATAGACACCCCATTGATTTCTTCTCAGTTGGATGAAGCTTGCTCCTCTTGCTTTTTCACCCCCTGCCACAATACTGCAAAACTTCCTTTACTTTTAAAACCATTTTAAGCTGAAATATTGCTAGTCTATTCTTATACAATACAATATTTTCTTCTCTACAAATCAGTCCTTTCTTCTGCAAGACATACAAAGGAATGTAGAATCAGTCCTTCCTTCTACAAGACATACAAAGGAATGTAGGAACAAAAGATCAACCTGTTCCTCACTGATTATTGGGGCACTGAAGCTGCAACATATCATAAGAAAAAAAGCAAGGGCCTGCATTGGTGTCAAAGTCAAGTGTGAGTGTGTGTGTGTGTGTGTGTGTGTGTGTGTGTGTGTGTGTGTGCATTGTTAAGCAAATCACTGAAGGTCAAGTAATGTAAATACAAATCAAGCAAAACAAAATGCTGAAGCCAAGTAAGATGGGTCAACCAAGCCAGTATCTTTCTTTTTCCAGGAACAAAGCAACACATCTCCAGTTCCTGTTGAGCAGAATAAGGAAACATCAGAACTGAAAATGGCAGGGAATGAAATGGCTTTCGAAATGTATTGTCCCTCCAATCGAAAAGGTTACCTGCTTATTAACATCTCACTACAACTCATGTGACAAAATCATGAAATCCAACAAAAGCTCATACACTTGAATGCAAATATCTCTCTGCTACCATTGCACAGATCATCCTTTACTTCCTTTTAGAATATTTGCATAAGTCTCCAGCCTTCCAGCTAAAACAGGAGCCTTCTCACCTGTGCTGATGTGCTGCTGAGCTTCTGTAGGCCATTTTCTAGTCGCGCCATCTTTGCTGTTAGTTCTTTTCTCTTTTTAAGCAGCAAATTCTGATACAGTTTTATTTGCTCCAAGAATGACTTGGGGGTGGTATAATTATAACGGCGTTCGTTAGTCAGGTAAGAATAAGACATCTCATTAACACTGGTATGAACATAAGCCATGAACTTGCTGATAGATTCTTTCACAGGAGGCTTGTTCACGATGATGATAATGAAGATGATAATGACAATGACAAGAACAATGTTAAAAGAGGAACCATTTCAAAGATAACAACAAAGCAGTTTGACTAAGTTTCATGGATATATCTTACATAAAGCACTGATTACCAAACTGAACTACATAGTATTCTAGAAAACACATGAAACTCCTTTTCAAGAATTTCCTGATTTTGATATGATATGTGAAACTTGAGTAGATTGCACCAAATTATTTGTAACTTCAAAATATCAATTTTATGCATGCAGTGTTTGTCCAATTGGTACCCCACTTTTCCTTTAGGAAATACATTGCCCTTCCTCTTTTTATTTATTTTTTCCCAAAACAACAATCTGGGAGCTTCCATAGTGGAGGTTGGGCTTGAACTTCAGTCTCCACTGTCCTAGACTTACACCTGAATCACTATATCACACTGCTGGAAAACATCTGCACATAAGTACACACTACTTATGTAAAGATGTGGTGAGGTAGATTTTCCTCCTTGCCTGCAGCCATAAGATGCCAGAAGACCAGATCTGCCTTACAAAGTAAACAGCTGTTCAGCCTTGCAATTGAGAGAAAGCATTGCTTGTGCTCCTAATATTCACTTACCTCAATTCCTTCTGTCCCTTGCAAGAAGCGCAGGCTGACTGACTCCAGAGCTTCCTGAGGCCACTCATGAAACCAGTCAATCGCTGTACAGTTCACAATGGCTGGGAACTTCCGGCTACGAACTCTCAGTTTGTTCCCCACTGGAGAAAAGCAAAGTGCCACCTGTGGAAAGTAGAACAAGCAATGAGGAAAATAACACGGACAGAATTACGAAGGAAGAAGGTCTTTGCTTTGCTTTGTGACTTTCAAAACTTTCGAGCTATGCTAAGGTTTTTCAAAGATGTATGGGCTCAGAACTATTGAAACGAAAGCATTTGCTTGTGAGCAGTCTTGAGGGTGAGAATGTTTCCTGATCAATTATTAGTGAAGTTGGGTTTTACAATTGTAACAGAAAAGTGATTTCTTTGAAGGATGCACAAAATAGAGATAGGCAAAGCTCAGGACCTAACTAACTAACATCCCACCGGGACAAAAGTCAAAGAACAATAGCTCCATGCTTGCATATTTGGGGACCAAGTCAGAGACAAGCAATACTGAGATTAGTTTCTTATAGTCAAACAATGATACACAAAGTGCGAACACAAAGAAATCCCTCACTATCTACATGTTTCTTGCAGATTGTCTTCCTAGTCAGGGTCCCGCAGCAGTTCAAATGCAGTATGGCCAGCTAACTTTGCCAGCTCAAGGTTGATTCAGCTTTCAGCTTTCCAAGGTCAGTAAAATCAGGACCAAATTGTAAATTCTCTAAAGAATGTTGTAAAGCATTATGAAGCAGTATCTAAGTCCAGGGGTGGGCTTCCAAAATTTTAGCAAAGGGTTCTCTGCCCAGTTGCTGGGTGGGCATGGCCATGGTGGGTGTGGCCTAGTTGGCCTCCTGCACCATTGCGAGGGGGGTTGTTTTTGCCCTCACTGGGCTCTGGAAGCTTTCCTCAAGCCTCCAGGAGGATGAAAACAGCCTCCTCGGGCTCCAGAGGCCCTCTGGAGGCCAGAAATGGGCCCGTTTCTAGCCTTCCTGAACTTTCACTAGACCCGTTTTTCACCTTCCGTGAGCCTCCACATGTGCCCTGCACTTACCTGCATCTAAAACAGGCCACGTGGGGATTCCAGGGAGGCGAGGGGAGGGGTGGGCAGGGCCAGCCAGGAGTGGGATATGGGGGTTCTCTGAACTGTGCAGAATCTTAGCTAAAGGTTCTCCCAAACCCTTGTGAATCTCCAGCAGCCATCTAAATGCTATTGCTATAGTCAGAAACTTGTGCAGAACAGTAGGTGCCACTGAAGTCACCTTTCCAGTAAAAAGAGCAGTAAACAGTAAAGCACAGCACCTCAGCCTAGTCTCTATTATTTTTCTTGCATAAAATGTATTATTATTATGTTATCCAAGATACAGATATGTCTCCCCCCTCCCCAATACAGTATTGAGTGAAGCAGCAACACTTCATTGATTGGAGTTAAATTTTATAAAGATCATCTTCAGAAACATCACACAATAAAAAACAGCAGGTCCTACCTTGAGCTGTCGTCTAACCCGATCAATGAAGAATTTCCAACAGGCTTCCCTTGTGTCCATCAGGCCATGACTTTTTACTTCATTCCTCATATTACTTATGATATTTTCTACTTCTTCATCAGGAAAAAGATCAGGAATTTCTCCTAGAAACACAAGATAACATTTGATTCGTCACAAAATCCCATACCTGCAGCATTGCTGAGGACGAAGGAAAAGACTATTGAGAGAAGTCAACAAATTAATTTTTCTTATATTTGCAAGGGCTCTGTAATAAGTGCACCTGACAAGTGAAGAAATATAAGGGCAGAGAAGACAAAGTAATTAAGCAATGAAAAAAAATGATACATCTCTATCACACAATGGAAAACTTGCTGAGAACTATCATTGTTGACCTCTAGTCACAGTAATTTGCCTTATAACTAAGGCAGAAACAGAACAAAACAATATTGTTCAGCAATAGCTATCACTATATTTATGTGGTTGAGGTGAATCTTCTGGCCTAGAAGTTGTGCTGTGACTGCTTTGTTAATAACATATCACAAATTTCACTTTCCTGTGTCCCCTTTCTGTATTTGTGACTGGGACAACATCCTGCAATGATAGTTTGGTCTCTTTTTGGCCTGCCAACTCCAATGAAGTGAATAGGTGCTATCTAGCTAGTTCTCTGCCTTCTATGACTGCTGTACCTGGCTCCTTCAGGAGGCATGCATGAGAATGTGTCTTGTTGGATCTGGGAGACAGACTTTTTCACAAGACCCTCCCTAACAATTATGGCAACTATCATCTGGTATTCAACTTTCCCTTTCTTGAGATGGTGGTATAGATGGAGGTATAGATGATAGTAGCTTGGTAGCTACAAAGGCCCCCAGAAGAAATGGATTGACTGAACTCCTTTCTGTCAATATTAAGGCTTAATGTGAAGCAAAAACATTATTGATCACTCAAATTGCTTTTCTCCACATTTAGACAGGGGCAGTGCGTGCTTCCACATCTCCTGAATCTCTCATTGGCATTTGATATAATCAGTCATGACTACTTACAAGACTGGAGACTGGGAAAAGATTTCAATGGCTTTATTCCTTTCTGAGTGAGTAGTGGAGAAGAAAATTCAGTCTGTAGAGTCTGTATTACAGAACAGCTATGTTCCTATGTAGAGTCTATATTATAGAACAGCATCTCTTCAGGTATCAGATTTGGCCCTAATTGTATGGTCTTCAAGAAAACATTAAACACTGAATTATTCCTGATGGTCTTTTGAGGTTGAATGTTGTCTTATTTTTTAATATGCTACTGTTATAGATGTAGTGGTATAGGTATTATGTTTTATTTGAGTTTTTACTGATTGATATTTGTTAACTTATTGTCATGGATGGCTTAATGTTGATGCCTATTGTTTTATATCCATGATGGATGTTTTGTTGTTTAGATATAGAAGTTTTCAATTTTGTTACATGTTACATAACTCTAAATGGGGTTGGTGGCCTATAAATATACAATTAAAAATTAAGAAGTAAAGAATTGTTTTACTTTAGTATTAGTTAAACCCTGCCTCACATTTTGGCACCATATTTGAAGAATTCAGACAAACTGGAATTGGTTTAAAGAAGCACAATGCTTAGAAATTAAGTTTTATGAAGAGAAGAACTGAAGTAGCTGGGAACATTTAGCCTTTACAAGAGAACAGTGAACAAATATATGATGCCACTTTTCAAATACATGAAAAGCCATCATGTGGAAGATCAGGAACTATACTTCATTTGCTAGAGGATAATGGATTTAAATTGCAGCAGGGCAGATTCCAGATTTTTGAAGAGCAGCTTGATATTAGAACTTAATACCAGATAGGCAGATATTCAAGCAAGTCTAGCCACTCACTTGTCTATGATGCTTCGATTTGGATTCTGCACTGACCAGGAAGTTGGAACTTATACTCTAAATGAACTGCCGTCACTGCCCCAAATTTAGCATTCTAGCTAGTAATGCCTATGCATATAAACAGAGAAAGGGTGATGGAAATTGCTACATGGTAAATAATGGTGCTGGAATAGAAGCTGGAATTACATGTAAATTCATTGTATACATCTGCTAGCTTCATGGTATAGTCACACAAGATCCTACCCCCTATCCTCAATTATATTCTCAGCATAATACCCAGGGCACACAACATGCTAATCCAAAGGCCAGGTTCCCACAACATGCTGAACCACAACCCAACCAATCCGATTTCCGTCTAGCTATGTGAACTCAGACATTCTGGGACAAGTTTTTTCATTGCTCTAGTTTCCTTTTTCCTATAAATGAAATTGAAACTATTATGAATACATACCAGAAGCTAGCAAGTCATTTACCAGAACTAAGAATCTCTCATCAGCCAGCTGAGTATCAGTCAGAAGAAAGACAGTGCCCACGTTCTTCATTCCTGCTGTAATACATTGTGCTGCTAAGTCAGCCTGTAAGTACATGAATATTTCAGACTCCAATTTTTGGATAACAGCTGTAAGAGAAGACTCAAGTCATCTTGAGTACTATTAAATTCAAAATTCATTGGTTTCTCTTTTTAAAGTCCACATCTTTAAAATAACACTGCTAATCATGAGGTTCATTGCTATACACATAACAATTTTATTTGAAGGAAATACATAAACATATTCTGTATACCAATATATACTATAACTCTCATTAAAGTATCTGTATAAAATCATTTTCATTAGGAGGCCAATCCCTACTACTATAATGGAAACTCTCTCCCCCACCTACCTACCTACCTACCTACCCCCCCCCTCTCTCTCTCCCTCTCTCTCTTGGAACTTTCAAGAGTTTCTTAAACACATTTGCATAACCTTGGTTTTTAATGAAAAGGGTGCTAAATTCAAATTCCCTTGCTATTTATTCTGCTATCATTCTGAGGTGCACTTAGAGCAGAATCAGGTATTCTGAATGAAACATTCAAGAAGGTTATCACCTCCATGGTTCTAGATCACCTCACAAAACAAAGGAGAAAGAGATACTCTTGTATGAAAATATCCTTGCTGGGAAAGTTCCAGCTGAGCATTATTGCTCAACAAGTTTAGTTTACGATTTACAGATTCTGACCCAGAATAACTTTTGAATAAACCACCCCTACATATTCTCTGGGGTAACATAATTATATATATTCCTGGATGGGGGGAGGAGGTGGAGCAGAGGAATAATCACATTTTTGACTAATGTTCTTTGGAAATTCAAGTCCCAGATATGAAACTAAGAATTATTAAAGTGGTGTTAAGCTGTAACATGCACAAGGTGCTTTTTTTGTAAATCTGCAGTTAATATAGTCAACATATTTAGTTCCTGTAACAATGTATTTGTTATGCTGCCTGATGCACTAATAACTATAGAGATGACTTTGCAAAATGTTTTCCATAATGTATTTTAATTGTTCACTCTCTAGATTCTGTAACATTTTCCAATTCTTTTTGCTCAGTTCTGTTGTCCCTGGGTATTGCCACATCCACAAAAATTACTCTTTTCTTTTGATTATTCTTATACCTGCTGTGTTGCATTCCAGGTGGCAAGTAGTTGTTATATGAATGTGACATAAAATGTTAATGTCATCATTTTCCACAACTGTTTCACTGTTGTGGCTATACCACATTCTGAAAACTCAGAAATTATCATTTTTCTACAAATACCAATGCATTATAGTAACTACTCTATCATGGCATTCACTATTGCAAGTGCAAGGAATTTTGTTTATGGTTATAGTTAAAGTTATGTTACAGTATTTATTAATTTGACATTTACATGAAGTCACAGAGACAGATCATCCATCAATTCATGATCATGCATCATCAGTTTCATAATAGTACTCAACTATCCATCTCATCCCTGGAATTGGCTGCGCTATATGGTTGACCTCATGTCCCAATACCTGTAAGCAATGAGAGTTTGGGGGTATAGGAACAAGCTCAGACTCACTTTTAGCAAGACTGAATGGTTGTGTATGTTTAAGCCTTCTAATACTGAGGACCTTCTATCTTTGGCCCTAATTGGGCATCTACTTTCCCATTTGGGTCTAGTGAACAATCTGGGGTTCAGGGCAGGATCCTTCTTGAAGGCAGCAGGTGAGAAGTATAGATAGGAGGGCTTTTGCACAGATTCACCTTGTATGCTATTGTATCTTTTCTGAACTAGAAGGCCCTTCTCACAGTTGTTCAGGACTTAGTCACCTTATAGTTGGACTACTGCAATGCATTCTACATGCAGCTGCCCTTGAAATCTATTCAGAAGCTACCTTTTGTATAGAATGTAGTGGCACAATCAGTGATAGGTCAATCACAACTTGCTCAGGTAATGCCCAAGCTCTGTGAATGCACTGGTTCCAGTTGTCTTCCAGGTATAAGTCAAAGAAATACTTGCCACATTTCAAAACCTATTAGCATAGAACCTGTAGTTAGGCTCTTCTTGGTTATAAGCCTCCTACCTTCAGATCAGGAATCCCATAGCCTTTCCTCAAGGTGATTTGGAAAATCTCCAGAGAACTAATGAAAGCTGCCAATCTTGTCAGACTCTGCTTGCCACTTCCGCCAACACCCACTAGCAGAGCATTCCCTCTGGGAGATTCCAGGATACGGTTGATTCTGCAACTAAACAAAAAGATACAAAATCCTTTCACATCTAATGTTTCTTCTGAAGAATAATATCAATATGTGGCACATGAACTAATCTATTAGATTCAAATCTTGCAAAATCTTAAGTCATTATGTGCCAATTAGCATAGAGGAGAACAGAGATAATCTGAAACAAGATATGCAAGAAATAGCAATGGCACTTAGACATGTATTGCTTCACAGTGTTTTCCAGCCCTCTCTGAGTGGTTTACAGAGTCAGCATATTTTCCCCAACAATCTGGTCTTCATTTTAGCGATCTAGAAGAATGGAAGTCTGAGTCAACCTTGAGCTGCTCAGAATTGAACTCCTGGAATGGGCAGTGAGTTAGCCCTGCAGTACTGCATTCTAATCACTGCACCACTATGGCTCTTAAGTAATCTTCAACTTAGTCCTCGGAAAGAAGATGGGATAAAAAAGAAATTCAAAGTAACCCTGCCTTCATCCTGTTTGATATAAGAGAGAATGGAGGAAACTTCTGACAGGCTTTTAAGATTCTGTTTATTATATCCTACAACAATAACGTTCCTATAATCCTTGCGGGGTCTGACTTCTCACCTGGCCTCTTGAAGGGCTGACAATTTGAAACCTCATTATTAGTTCCAATTCAGTGGCCTTGTGAGTTTTGACTTCTTCTTTTTCCTCCCAAATTAATTCTTAATGCCCATTTTAGCCATATCAATTAACTTTTGTCATGTTGCTGACATATACCGACCTAATTATGTTCATCTGAGTCTCCTTAAAATATCATTTAAATTTACACCTCTGCTAGATCTTGTCAAAACAGTTTCAGTTAGCCAATGTTTCAGTTAGCCAATGCCCAAAATATACTGCCGATATAATTCTCGTCTCTGAAGCCTGCTTGTATGTTTTCTTAGGAATAGGAGGATATTTCTTAATGGGTAAAGTCCTGACTTGGAAACCAAAGAAGCAGAATAAGAGAGTAGCTTCCTGAGAGATGGCAACCACCCATTAATTCTCATTTTGTCCTTGTGTCAGGAATTTGCAGCTGCTGTGAAGTCATCAGGTTCTGAGATGTGTTTTTTTCCCCTTTATTTGGCTTGCTGGCCACCATGTGGCATCTGTATTCATCACAATTATTTCAACTTATTGCTTTGTCATCCTGGAGACAGATGGGCACTTGCCATAACCCCACTTTTCAGAAAGAGACTCATCTGGTTAGCTTATCTGATTCAGATACAAAACCTAGTTGTTGAGTTGAGTTGAGTTTTATTGATTTGTATGCCGACCACTCCCGAAGGACTTCGGGCGGCTTACAATAAAACAAGGGAGGTGGGATAATACACAAACAACATATTAAAATATACAACAGTCACAATTTCCGAGGGGCTGGATATTTCGAGAGCCCCCCCCCCCCCGCCTGCTGGAGCAGCCAGGACTTAACGGCTTTGCGGAAGGCCGGGAGGGTAGTAAGGGTCCGGATCTCCACGGGGAGATCGTTCCAGAGGGCTGGAACTGCAACAGAGAAGGCTCTCCCCCGGGGAGTCGCCAGCCGACATTGGCTGGCCGATGGAATCCGGAGGAGACCTAACCTGTGTGATCGAATCGGTCTATG